TTTAGTTAACTAAAGGAAAGGTATAATGATGAAAGCTTAGATTCTATTCAAACACAAAGCTTTCGATATACAATGTGGAGAATCCAGGAATGTAAGGATTTTATTCTCCATGTAAAGTGGAAACTGCTTAGTCTGCTATGTGATCATTAGCCATATCAAGTAATATTGCCACTTCCGTCCCTATTTTGTTTGGTTTCTTTTTCAAGTTCAGTAGCCAGCCCTAGATAACTTTTGTATTTAGCGATAACTTTTTTTTCAAATACATATTATGTAGTAAACAAACTATAGCATTCGTTTTTCACATTTCATTATCTGGCAAATTTGAAAAATAAGATGCGGAATATTTTAATACACACACACACATATATATATATGTTCACTACTTTCTTATATTAACACTAGCTTGAGTACACATCCGTTGGACTAATGGAATAAAAACTCGCTTGTAACAAACGACAGGAAATTTTGCTTTTATTTTTTTCCTTAACATAACAAACATTAAGAATGCAATAATAATACATAAAGGTACCAATACTGAGAAGAAAGACATACTGTTTTCAAGAATTCGATCAATATGAAATTAGATGGGAAGTCCAACCCCTCTCATAACTTTCTTCATGTCATCCTGTATCACTGTGTTAAGTTGTGCTGAATCGGTAGTTTTTTCCGAAATTAGATATGAAATTAGATGGGGTCGAACCCCCTCCCCTCATGACCTTCCTCATGTTATCCTGTATTACTATGTCAAGTTGTGCTGATTGATCAAGAAATGTGAAAACATATAAGGAACAGATACACACACACACATATTGACGTTTGTTTACCTATAGAAGATTGGAAACGTATAAGGAACAGATACACACACACACACATATTGACGTTTGTTTACCTATAGAAGATTGGAAACGTATAAGGAACAGATACACACACACACACACATATTGATGTTTGTTTACCTATAGAAGATTGGAAACGTATAAGGAACAGATACATACACACACACATATTGACGTTTGTTTACCTATAGAAGATTGGAAACGTATAAGGAACAGATGGCTGAAAGTTGTGAACAAACAGACACAAACTTAGCTTTATATATTAGATAATTTTTATAAAGTAGGAAGAACATGAAAAAGTGTGATAAAACACAGAAGAGAATGTATCTCGTTTGTTTTGTTTTTAATCACAAAGCTGTACATTCGGTTATATATGTTGTGCCCACCGCGAATATAGGGTCCTGAGTGTTAGCGTTAAAAGCCTTTAAGCCTACCGCCGAGCCACTGTGAACTAGAGAGTTTAAGCCAAACATTACATTAACATGGTCGGCGCCAAGATTTTCTGAGGGAGGTTCGTTTCTGTTCTTAGATAAGTATACATGCATCCATGTTTATATCCACATAAAAATTCACGTCTTATGACGAGAACTCATTAATGAAATAGATATTCAAACAACTTTTCAAAATCAAACGGGATACTACCTACTCATTTCTTGATCAAAGTTTTTGTGAATGTCACAATTAGACGTGTGTTAACTTATTTTGATAACTTTTTGCATATTATTATATAATATTAAGAATACTGCTATTTAACTTTTTCAGTTTAAGTACTGTATTGGTCTTGTCAGGATATGTAGTTATGGAAAAACAGCCACAGTCTTGTGAAGCATAGTTAGTTGTCCTGGCGTAAATGAAAATATGAAAGATTTATCCTGACGCGAACGTGAATTTTCAGTATGGTATTTTCTTGGTCATTACAGGGTATTCACATTTTACTGAATACTGGCCGTTCAGTACCTTTGAATGCATTATGGTTATGCTAAAGATATTGGTTGCTGGCCGCTCAGTACGTTTGAATGTGTTATGGTAGTGCTAAAGATACTGGTTTGCTGACCATTCAGTACGTTTGAATACGTTGTGGTTTTGCTTCAAACTGCAAGTGTGTGTTTTTTTTATAGCAAACCCACCTCGGGCTATCTGTTGTGTCCACCGAGGGTAATCGAACCCCTGATATTAGCCTTGTAAGTATGTACACTTACCACTCTCCCGCCGGTGGACCGAACTGCAAGTAGATATGGCGGCTCGTAGAATTAATGCTTATTTGTGGCCTTAAAGGGATTTTTGTTCGCATTCTCCGAACCCCTCCTAGCAACAACCACGAATAGTATCTTTAATACCTTGTTTAGGAGCTGCAAATAAATTGTCAGTTAAATGGGTATTATAAATGGTATACTTTACCAAATAAAATACCACAATAGTAAACGAAAATGGATAATTTTGGAAAATAATGAAATCATCTGACAAAAATCTCATCGTGAGTTTTGAAGGCCATATGTTCTGTCTTGAATGAATAATTCTTCCAATATTTTTTTCTGTCAAACAAATCAGTAAAGTGAAGACTATAGATAAATGTATACTTTGGTTTGATTTATATTTATTGATATTTAATTTTTGAATGGAGTTCATTAAGAAGGTTAGTTAGCTTTATCACCAGTTAATGAATTATCTTCTAGTTTGATAAATATATAGCTTTCTTACTGTTTTAATGCTATTTTGTTAATAATATTTCGCTGTTTTTAGAGACATTGTACACCATAGATTTGGACTACAAGAATTGTTCCATTTCAAGACCAGCCAGTTACGAACCCAAAGTTTATCTACCATTCAAAAGAGAGTTACTGCTGACCAATCCCAATATTCTTATTGGCAACGATGGTTTCTACTATATGGGAGAGGTTTGTAGGATACCTAGTTTATCATTCTAGAATATTCCTTGATGATACATGAAGCAGGCATGTTCGTCATTCACTTTCTTTGCAAATCCAAATAAGAAACACACCCCATAAACTATGAAGAAAGACATGTTTTGATATATAATCATTCTTTATATGTTTTATTTCTCCATAGCTTATAAGAATAATAAATTATGATCAAACATGAAAACCATATGTCCATTTCAAAATGTTTAACTTCTGAATATTCAAAATTACTCTCTTGTAATGCTGTGTTCACCGTTACTCTGTAAATAGTCAATGTACTTCTCACATATTACTAAGCCTAACGCCTCACAAAAACATTGTGTGGGAAAAGGCAATTTCTTTTATAAACCTGCAAACGTATATATATATATAACAAGAAAAAGAAATATTAATACAAATAAGAAATCGAACAATGTTCGTCTATGTTGTTCAGTTATATAGTTTTGTCAACTTTGAACCTAAACATGAGAAAATGTTGTATGTTTCCCGTTTTCTGATTCTTTACTCTTTTATTTTATACGAAACAAAAAATTAAAGCCATATGATAAAAATGTTTGATTTGAATCATTTCCAAAGTTTGTAGCAGTATTTAGAGGCTGATTTGAGGAATGTCATCGAAACTTTTTGTTAAGTTATATTTATTTAACATTTGTCATTAACGGTTACAAAATATTGTTATTATTATTCTCCACGTTTTTTAGTATATGGTATAATTTATTCATTTTATACAATATTGCTATTAGTGCCATCCACATTCTTTATTTTATATCATTTGTTCATTTTACATAATATTACGCCCCCCAGTGGCACAGCGGTATGTCTGCGGATTTACAACGCTAGAAACCGGGTTTCGATACCTGTGGTGGGCAGAGCACAGATAGCCCATTGTGTAGCTTTGTGCCTAATTCCAAACAAACATATTATTAGCGCCATCCACTTAGTTTGTTATATACTTTCATTTGTTTATTTTAGGCAATATTATTTTTAGTACCATCCACATTGTTTAATGTATATTATTCGTTTGTTTTAAACAATATTGTTATCAGTGCCTTCCACTTCCTATATTGTGTGATATCACATTGTATTTTTTTATGTTTTCGTGGTTTTGTTTCGCAGAAAAAAATGATTTTATTGTATGAAATAAAAAGTAAACTCAAGGCACTTTGGATCAGAATGTAAAATAGTTATGTTGTAGAATAACTCACTGTTGGCTTAGCGTAAAGATTACTGGTAAAGGTATATATATGTTGTTTTAATCTGCGTTTTAATTTAGAGTGAAGAAAGAAACATACCCGTTTCTGTGTTCGAGAAGAAAATCAACATGTTTCCACTAGGACCAAACATTTTGTCAGCTTTTGTAGTGATCACACGTTATTATACAAGCGTGAGTAAATTCTATATATTAATGCAGTTTCACTCTAGGTTCCAAAATAAACAACTTTTACATTCTGCATTTATGTTTTATTCTTACGGTATTAATCGTCCATTGTTGCTATTCACATTTGTCTACTTTTAAATTAAATTACGTCCGCAAAAGAGTGAATATATTATAAATTGGAAGGATACATTTAGGCTTTAACTCATATTTGGAAAGGAGACCTTATATTACTACTTTCTATATTTTTTCGACTTTTTAATCTAATTCTTATATGATATTTGTAACATGTAAAGATAAGTCACTTAAATTAATGACTTAAACTGGAGTTGAAGTTATTCATTATCAAAAACGCACTAAGTTAATACAAGATTATACAATCGATAAGGAGAATGAATAATGGTATGTGAAAGTTAGACCGGCTATTCATTTAATTATCATATCTTATATTGAAGTTTGATGTTTGTGCTCCGCTACATTCAAAGTAAGTTAAACTTTACGGCAAAAAGCTGACATGACCCAGCATCAAATCTAAATCCAATTATACTTTATAAGTTTGAATTTTGTTGAACAATGTAAACCTTTTATTGGATAGTTTCGGTTGTGTTAACATATACGTTTTATACCTAACTAGCGAGATAAAGGTGATCAACAACATTTGGTTAAATTTGTAAGTTTCTAACAATGTACAGTTTACTAAAAATAAAGCATAGGCTATGATGAAAATAACATCAAATAACGCTTTTCACGGAACGTTTTCTAAATAACTATAAGATATTACCAGTAAAGGGTATGGTATCCATGTTGAAGATATTAAGATTTTACTAGTTAAGGGTATAGTATCCATGATGAAGATACTGAGACTAATTACATTTTGTTCATCTTTGCTACACAGAACGATGTTTCGTATGGAAGCAACAGAATAGAGACACAAGTTCCCATCCGTGTTACACTTCGAGCCTATGATGATTTAAATGACCCAAAAGTATGTATTTAACATTTCAGGTGTCAGTTATAGAAAAAGTATGTATTTAACATTTCAGGTGTCAGTTATAGAAAAAGTATGTATTTAACATTTCAGGTGTCAGTTATAGAAAAAGTATGTATTTAACATTTCAGGTGTCAGTTATAGAAAAAGTATGTATTTAACATTTCAGGTGTCAGTTATAGAAAAGTATGTATTTAACATTTCAGGTGTCAGTTATAGAAAAAGTATGTATTTAACATTTCAGGTGTCAGTTATAGAAAAAGGTATGTATTTAACATTTCAGGTGTCAGTTATAGAAAAGTATGTATTTAACATTTCAGGTGT